CCACACCCCTTCATGGTCTATAAATAGGACCCTTTGGGTGTCCTATTCCTCACAGTTTGATATGCAAAAACGTCTCTCATCCTCTCTTCTATCCAAAATCAAAATCATTTCATTTATTTTGATTTTCTTTCATTTCATCTGTGGAGTACATAAGCCTACATTGGGTTCGTTGTACTTGTGTTTTGGAGTGCTACAAACACAAGTGTAGCCGTTGTATCTTGGGAGTCGATTGCCAAAATCCGTAGGCACCGTTGCGGGGCAAATTCGACTTAAGGACAAAGAGTCCAACTCTTGCCTCGGCTTTGTCACCATCATTATACTTATTTCGGCGTCACTATTCACAAAATTCTTTCAACAAGTAGGTGCACCGTGCATTCATGAGTCTATGTTGTGCTTTCGATTTTAATATGTGAGTTTTGAATTTGTTGAACTAAGTATGTTTGAATTTGTCTATATTTGATTTCTGAATTTTTAGTGAATTTGTTGATCTAAGTATGTTAACTATTAAGTTTTTTTATTTACCACTATTTGTTGATTTTAGCATTATAAATGGAAATTTGTTCATCTGTGAAAATGTGTAGTTTCAATAATTATCTTTGGACTTGTATTTTGGAGATTTTAACTTTTTTTTTTAAAATCAACGAGTTTAATTATATTGAATTGAAGGCAAGAAACTTCATAACCAGATTTTTATTTTTGCAACGTAGAATTCATTAAATATGGGAATGGTTTCTCATTGAATAAACTCCACTTAAACTCAAGGATAGATCCAACACAAGCAGCACACTATATATACATATTTTATCACGAAATTATAGATTAACACAAACTTATTAGGCATTAATTAAATCTTACCTCAATAATCAGTGTGATAGTCATTGTAATGGTCATCGCTTGAAGCCATGTCATTCTCAACTCTCTCTGCTATCTTCTCTTCCTCGTACTTTATCCCTTTTTCCATATTTAATTTTGTGAACTTTATCACCTAAGCTGTGATCATTAGGTTTAATTTCATTCTTTTGTTTTTTTTAATGAGTTGATTGTTTTCGTTGATCGTTTCTATCAGTTTTGAAGAAGTACTTTAAATGTAAATCTACGTTTTCTTGTAATGAGCAAAATGTTAATAAAATGAATATTCGAGATAAAAGAGATGAAATGAATGCTAGGGATGAAATTGATGGAACTAATCTTGGAGATGGCCCGATTCAAACAAATGTCGAGGATGTTGGGAATGAAAGTCATGAATTTGATGTTGCACAACTACCTTCAGATTCTGGATTGAGAGTTCCAATAAAAAATTATGATATTAATGTCCGAGATGAAATTCAAAGAACATATGTACAACTGGGTCCTTGTTAACCTCGCAATAATGAATTTCCACCCACAAGAATGGCTAACAAAGATAGACAATTTTGTGTTTCGCGGTATAATGAGCATCCTAGTTGGTTGGAATACAATATAGCCAAAGATGTTGTATTTTGCTTATATTGTTATCTTTTCAGCTCAAGTGGTGGTTCATTTGTTAATGGTGGGTTCTCAAATTGGAAAAGGAAAGAGATTATTAGAAAACATGTTGGGGCATCAAATAGCGCACACATTTTATCGGTGTTATACATGTTTCGAGTACCACAACTGTCTCACTTAAGGCTGGAATTGATCAATTATTTTCTACGCATAGTCTAAGTATATCTAATTTAAGAGGTCAGGAATATGATGGAGCTAGCAATATGTGAGGTGAGTATAATGTTCTCAAAACACTTATTTTGAAAGAAAATTCAAGTGCTTACTACATTCACTGTTTTGCTCATCAACTTAAACTGGCTCTTGTAGCTGTGGCACAGAAACATCCAAAGATGGAAACTTTTTTCATTTCAGCAAACAGATTGGTGAATTTGTAGGAGGATCAGCTAAATAAAGTGATCTTATTCAAGAGAAACAAAGATTGAAAACTCTTAAATCACTTAGTATTGGTGAAATATCAAGCGAGCGGGGTCTCGATCAAGAAACTACTTTTAAGCGTTATGGTAATACACGTTAGAGATCTCACTACAGTTGTTTACTTAACCTGATAGTCATGTTTTGAACCACAGTTAATGTTGTTGAGATGATTGCTACTGACACTACAAGTTCTGGAACAAGAGGTGATGCATGTATTTTATTGGAGTTGAGGTTAAAATTTGAATTTGTATTTAATCTACATCTCATGTGAAAGATTTTGGGAATTTCAAATGAATTGTCGAAAACATTACAAAGAAAAGATCAAGATATTGTCAGTGCCATGAAATTGGTACAATTATGTAAATCACAGCTCCAAACCATGAGAGATGATGGATGTGATTCTTTTTTTTGGAATGGTTTGTTCGTTCTGTGAAGCTCATGAGATAAATATTCCCAATAAGGATAATATGTTCATAACTCTAGGTCATTCATGACGTAATATAGTGACAAATTTGCATCATTTTCGTGTAGAAATGTTTTATGCCATCATTGATATACAACTTCAAGAGTTGAATGATCGTTTTTCAGAGGTCAACAGTGAGTTGCTCCTTTGTGTTGCTTGTTTGTGTCCAAATAATTCATTTGCTACCTTTGACAAGAATAAAGTGATTTGACTATGTCAGTATTATCCGACAAAATTTGACGCGACAGATATCTTTTAACTTGATGATCAACTAGATACATATATCTTTGACATGTGCATTCACGAAGATTTTGAATAATTACAAGACCTTGCACAGAAGTTGGTTGCGAAAAATAAACATGAAGTTTATCCATTAGTCTACAAGCTTATGACATTAGCTTTAGTCCTTTTCGTAGCTACTGCTACAGTCGAGAGAGCATTTCTGTAATGTCAATTGTTAAAAATCGTTTGTGCAATCGAATCGGGGATCAATGGTTGAATGATAGTTTGATTGCATATATTGAGAATGATGTATTTGACAATATTGAAAATGATGTCATTATGGAACATTATCAAAGTATGAGAATTCATAGAGAACAATTGTAATAAGATATCAAATATTTAAATTCTTTTTGTCCCCTTTTTGACAAGTTTGATTGTGAGCCCACTAACTCAAAATATCTACATCTGCCACTGCTACTGGACGAGTACCACTAACTGCAAAATGACCACCTTCATCCATTTTTGAAAAAATTATGCAACTCGATGAATGACCAGCTGCCTATTTATGCGTTTTGTTGCTGTATTTTTCTACGTCGGTGTTATTTTTGGCCGATAATTGTTTGTATTATCTGGTGATTTAGCTACATGGTTTGATGTAATTAAGTGGCATTTTTGTTGTTGCTGATAGTGAGTAGATTTATGTTGTTTGATGCTATTTACTGGTGCTGATCGATGCTAAATTTCTAACTCTTAAGTAGATTGTCATTGTTACTTTGGTTTCGACTATGATTGTTTTAAAAGCAGGTATTTTGCACATTAAATGGTAGTGATGTGATGTATTTTTGCTGGAATGAATAATAAAATGTACGGTAAAATTAGTGCAATACAAAAAATCAGGGACCATTACTGCCAAATGGTTTCTTTTATAGGTTACAAACCACCAAAATACGTAAATGTTAGGTTCTGAAGTAGCCAAAAAGTCCTATTTCTGTAAAGAAAGGTGGCAACAAAAGCGGCCAAAATGCTAAGTTCAGATTATAGTTCTTGAAACCAATTGCGCCAATTAGCTTTATAATTATCTAAGGGAAAAATTCAAAAGTAAGGAATTAAGTATGACAAATTCAATTTTCGGTGTCAAATTTCAAAATACAAAACTCAGGCATTAGTTAATTAATTAAAAATATTTATTAATTAAATTTAATAAGGTCACAAATATATAATTAATGGTCACATATACATAATTATTGGTCATAACTTTTTTACTAGTCACATATTGTCAAATTAATTAGTTACAGATTATTTCGAGATCACAAATTAAAAATTTTGTACATCACAAACAAAAAATTTTATAAGTCATAATTTATTTTATTGGTCATAAATCAAAAAAATTACAGGTCACAGTTTACCATTGGTGGCAAATTTTCAAATTTGTTGGTCACAAATTATATTTCAATCACAAGTTATTAAATTTTAATGTCACAATTTAATACTTGATCACATATAACCAAGTAATGGTTCACCGCCATCGTCACTTACAACCACCCTCGCCAGCACCACAACACCACCACCACCGCCCCACCACCGCCACCACCATCACAACCATCACTATCAACACCTTCACCTGTACCTCCAACAAAAATCGCCGCCAAATCCACCATCATCTCAGATCCAAAAACCCCCCAAAATGCAAATCGATCAGATCCAAAAACCCCAAAAGGCATATCAATCCACTACACCACCATCATCGCTGTCGTCGCCATAGTCAGACCACCACCAACACCACCATTCAGATCACCACCACCTTCACTCGCTAGATCTAAAAACTCAAAAGCACCGAATGCACAAAAACATAGTGGTTGTGCTACAGTCAAACCCCCAAAATCATCGAAGGTACAAAAGCACCGAACGCACAAAAGCATTGTTGTTGTGCTACAATCAAAGGCACAAAAGCAACAAAGGAACATAGGCAATCGCCGAATGCCGGTGTTATGCTACAATCGTCGCCAACGCAATGTCGTCTCTAGTGTGGCATCGTTTCTAGCTTGTATCGTCTCCAACAGTGGAGAGAATGGAGAGGGATGTAGAGAGAGAATGGCAGGAGGAAATAATTAGGGTTTGGGGATGGGACGGTTGGGGGTGAATGGTTTTATAATTAGATTAATACCTAATATTTGTATAAATAAATTTCACACTTGATGTATGAATTGTATTTCTTAAACACCCGGTGCCGTGTAATTTTCCCTTACCATAATGTTATTAGTAACGATTGTGAATTTACTACAAATAAAATTTAAGTCATGTGACCTTGGGACAAATGTTATCCCCTTGAAAAGGAAAAGAAACCGGTTTGCCCTGCCAAACTTGATAAACTAGCGAAGATTCCTAACGTGAATTGAATATTGCAGAACTTGTATCAAAGAAGTTAAAAAACCAAGTTATCATAATTAAAATTACAGACGAGTCAAACTCCACGCAGAAGATAACATTACAACCACTAGACCTTTTTTTTTTACTTTTAGATAGCTTTTTGGTGGATCTTGCTATGACATGTACAATAACTGCTGCTGCAACTTTGAAAAACTTCACCAGGCTTGGGTTGCTTTAGTCACACCAAGAGTAACAGCAATAACAGCAAGAGTTGCCTGCAGTAACAAACCAATGACGATGAGTTTCATTGACACAAGTCGAGCAAATGGTAACAAGGAATAACTGCGTTCTTATAATGCAAGTTAAGTAAAATCTCATGCTGAGGACTTGAAACAGAGTGACAAAATCACATGCATAGAACATCTTAATTGGACTGTTCTTAAGCCAAAAACCTACACTTGAGCAAAAATTGGCCCAAACTCTGGCAAGATCTAATGATTAGATTTTACCACCAACTATTCGCAGCCCATGTGGCACAAGTTATTATTATTATTATTATTATTATTATTATTATTTTTTTTTTTTTACGACGCCCATGAATAATATCTGACAAGCATAAGCAAAAGCCCAAATCTTGGCCAATTCCCAGTTTTATCCTTCTATCAAACGGGTAAACAAATTTTTCATTTGCCTTTTAGATCGTCAATATTTCCTTGTGCTTCTTATCATTCAATCAATAAAAATAATCACTTAAAAAACATGCGATCACTATGCTGGTGGCTTCAACACCCACAAAAATTTCTGATAGTCTCTTAACAAAAAAATAAAAATAACTAAAATAAATGGTACAAGTACATTTAAGTGTCTAACAATGCTTCATGGCTGGATAAAGGGGGGACCCATTACTGTAATTACTAATTTCTATGAAATAAGCATCTCTCTTCACCATCAAATCTGTCAGTGCCAGGCTCAGCTTTTATGCATCTAATCTACACCACATTTCTTAATGAAAATTTTTATACTTGAAGCATCTCTAGTTAATGATGATAGGTATGATCTGAGCAAGCTAACAAAATCAAGAAGCATAAAAATTAACATTCATGCTACTTGTACAACCTTAGTTGACAACTTCACACTTCACAGCATCACATTCATCCATTTTAAAAATTATAAAAAACTGTTTTTTAAATCAATGGCAAGGATTTTGACAACGCCAAGATTGTTGACAATGGTTGTCAACAAGGATTGTACAAATAGCTTAAGTGAAATATTAATACTTCGAAGAAGTAAGTGTAGTCATCAAAAAACTTTCGAAGATTATATGATTAACAAATCGAAGGCAAATAAGCAGTAGTAATCCCTTTTTTCTTTCTTCAGTAAATAAATTGACCAGACAATTAAGCATTAGTAACCCTAGAAGCATTTCAGACTTCAGAAAGAGAAATCACATTAGAGGACGAACACTTACAGCCAGAGTGCATGCAAAAAGTCCAGCTTTTTCTCTGTAATCCACCCGAACACATAACAGTATAAAAGCTCCAATGTACCAGGGAATAGCACCGAGTACAAAACCAATTATAAACCTTGATAGTAAATTCAGATAAAATCAGTCAATAATTCACATTTTACAAGAGAAACAAATTAACACAATGATATCATCATTAGATAACATTCACGTTCAGAATTAGTACTACCCTGACTAAACCTCCCTCTAAGTTTTTTTTTAACTGACAGCATACTTGAAATAAAGGGGCAAAATAAATTTAAAAAAACCAAATATCAAGAGTTTGGCAAATTGCCTCACCCAATTTATTTACAACACTTCTTCTTGATCAAACGCTTTTCTTCACAATAGATTGAATCATTATTTTGTCAACCATAACCATGCTATCTTTACTTTACATCATTTTTCCTGGTACCTTGGTTCTAATTGATATTCATAAACCAAACCACACATACAGGAATAGACTAGACAACAGAAGAATAAAAATTGAACTCCATTTAAATGATAATCTAGCAAACAGCTCTTATAGTGGAATATCAATAACTATCTGAAGAGTTTACAATGACATGTATCCCCAAATAAAGAGAGAAAAATCTTTGGTTAAAGGACAGTAGAACCGAGAATAGTACTTACAAGAACCATCCAATCCCCATACCACAACAAGGAAGCCGATGCTCTCTTAAGGGTCGACCTTCAGCAACAGCATAACCTGGAATAGCAAGAATTGGAAGGGTGTTAAAAGCGACAGCAAATCATAAAATGATACCTCTAAAGAAGTGAACATGGAACTGCATCTTTTAACAGTATTAGCTTTCCATTATGTTCATTGTCCAATAACATGAATATTCGAGCTGTGGAATGAGCTTTAAAACTATGTCACCTTGCCAGCATAGGATGACCAAAGAAAAACATAAAAACAGATAAAGCAGTGCATAAGGAAAATACCGATGTCAAAAAGTTAGAATCAATAACAACTCGTCCAAATTATCATTCTTGATTTCCTATGTTTTGTGTGGTAATTAGGGGGGAATATGATAAAAAAGCAACACAGTTAAATGAAGTTGAAGATTTTGATTATGTGATTCAATGAATTGAAAACAAAATTCCCTCTTGATCTCTTCTTCTTGTGCTTTCAATATCACCTACAGATTAACTACTTTTCAACAATAAACAACAGAAACAAAGATAGAAGATAAATAGAACGAGTAATAAAGTGGAATTACAAAAGAGCAAATTTTGAGGCGAGGCCAATGGCGCTAGGGACATGTGCGGAATGACAAATTAAAAGAACAACAGACTAGGGATTTGCTTTTCCTGACGCAAGTATTTATTTATCAAATTGAAGAACAAACTAGGGATTTATCTTTTCCGGATGCAACCAATCAATGTATCTATTTTTTCCAGGTATTTTCTTCATAACAAAACAAAAAGGGAAAAAAAAAAAGAAAAAAAGAAAAAGAAAAAGGAATTTCAATTCAATCAATAGCAACAAAAATAAACTGTCACATGAATTTTTTTTTTTTTAATCTCTTTTCCGTTGATCAGTAATTTCTTTTAATTCAATTAAGGTATTCTAAATTTCATCGGTATTTACATCGAGATATGATAATAAAAGCTTCTATTTCAATCAAGAGTACCAGGAACAGTTTGATATCCGTGAGGATAGTAATGAGGCGGAGCGCCGGAGAGGCCAGCAGGAGGTATGGGCTGAGGGAAACCGATGACATGGTGAGACGGTGGAGGAGGAGAGACAGTAGATTGAGGTTGATAGTTTGCCACGCCTTGGAAGGTTCCGTAATAATTTGGCGGAGGAGGCGGGGGCAGCTCGCCGGATGCCGTCGCGATGCCTCTGCTCTTCCCTTCTCCTTCTTCGGTCATCCTTGCTATTACACGAATAGACGATTCAGGATCGGGAGGGGTTGGGGTTCCGGTGTTCAAAACTACGTCGTTTTATTATTTGATCAATGACCGAATCCGATTTCAAAGCCTGTTCGTAATTACAAGGAGTGTGCAAGTCCACTCAAGCGTAACAACAAAGCCACCCATGATTCACACGGTTAACCACCAATAAGCAATGGAAATGCCATTTGTACACCCCCATCTACTTCTGAGAGAGTCCACGTTCAATAAAAAATATATATATATTATTTGCAATCGTTTATTATCATATTCATCCTACGTAGCATACATATAATGGTTAGTGATTTGAATGCCACGTAGAATTAGAGATGACAATGGTTCGATTCGGGGTCGGTTCGACCAAAATCATCATCGAACCACTAATTTTTTAGTCATACCATAACCGCACCATAACCACAAAAGTCGGTTCAGTTCGGTTCGGTTCGATTCGTATCTCAGTTCGACTCGTTAATAATCACGAAAATAAATTATTTTTAATTGGTCCATCCATCGAATAAAAAGAAAAATGTATGAAAAAAGTTAATAAAAACAAAAACATGATACAAAGTCAATGTAGCAAACAACATCTCAAATGAAAATGCAAAAAATATCTCAATTCTCAAATACAAAATCCAAATTTAATAAACAATATTCAATAACTCAAAAAGTTTCACCCTCAATTCATATTTAATCTTCATTCTTCCCTGTAATTCTTACTAGTATACGTCGAAACTCAAAGTTGATTCCTATATAGTATATAAGAAATGTAAGTAGAGTAATAAATCAATAATCCATAATGTTCTTAACTGAAGATTTAAACAAAAAAAAATGTACCTCTTTGTCAACATTCTCGTCGCCAAACTTTGGTTTCTGTAATTAAAGAATTCAATTTCTTGTTTATGTGTTGTTTAGGCCAAAAGTCATCAAAGAGAAGAGAAATTAAAGTCATTTATCTCTAAAACGGCTACCAATTGTAAAAAATTGAAAATTTTGAATATACTTTGACCAAATCTTGTGTGAAATTCACAACAAACTCAAATAGACAAATATAAATTATCAAAAAAGAAGAAGAGAAGCTCACCAGTGGCAGAAGCCTGAAGGTCGAAGGAGAAGATAATAATGCAAACGGGCAGAGGCGGAAGAGACGACAGTTGGCACTCAGCAGACCCAGAAGGCAGGAGTTGAGATTCCAATTTTCCAATAAAACGTTTGTGCCTTTATGTTAGACTGTTAGGGTTCAGGGTTGGGTATTTGGGTTTAAATTCAAGTGGAAATTACACAAAACCATATTTTAACTATTCAAAATTCCTAAACCAGATGGGAAGTTTGACATTTCAAAATTCAAATTCTTTTTTTAATTATTTAAATAAACTAATTACCTAAAAAAAAAAAACCCTACCCACAACCCAAACGAAGCCCCCATCTGTTCCCTCTCCTTCGCTCGTCTCTCTCTACCCTTCACTCTCCGACGACGGCAGCCGCATCTTGTCCCTCTCCATTGCTCGTCTCTTTCTATCCCTCACCTCTCAACCTGAGACTGTCGTCACCAAATTGAAGCTACTCGAAGCCACCGGACTGAAGGCACTGTTATCCATCGTCGCTATCAATCACTGTAAACGGCGAACCCATCGCTAACGACGTTTGAGTTTGCTGCCTACACAGACAATCAGAAATTCAGCCGCCTGCAGCAAGGTGGTGGTTGTGACGTGGTGGTATTTTGTGTGTACTGTGGGCAGTGGTTGTGCGCTTGAGTTTGCTACCTACACAGACGATCAGAAATTCGGCTGCGTGCAGCGAGGTGGTGGTTGTGATGTGGTGGTATTGCGTGTGTACTATGGGCGGTGGTTGTGCATGGTGATACGAGTGGTGGCGGTTGTTGATATGGGCGGTGGGATGATGGTAGATTCCAGTGACAGATTGGGGATTTTTTCTGGTGGGGACGGTGCGATGGTGGTGGTGTTCATGGGGGCGGTACGGTGGTTGTGGTGGTTTTGGTTGTGCTGGTGGTGGTGTTGTGTGGTACGATGGTCGTGGCGATAGAGACAGTGGTCGTGGCAGTGGGTGTGGCGATGACGGTGAGCTGTTGGTGGTTGTGGTCTCGGATGTGTTGATTTATTTTTGGTCGTGGTGTTTGATGTAGGGTGATGGTAGTGCCGGCAGTGGTGCTAGAGGGTGATTGTTTGGTGGTGGTCACAGATTAATGTTTTAATTGTGACCATTAAATTGGTTAACATGAAACTAATAAATAATACGTGACCAATAAGATAAATTGTGACCTATAGTATTTATGATCTGTGACCTATAAATAAATTATAACGTATAAATTTAAAATTTTTGATTTGTGACCAATAAACAAACTGTGACCTATAAAATTTTTGGATTGTGATCGTAAAATAATTTGTGACATAAAATTTTTAATTTGTGACCAAAAAATAATAAGTGATGAATTAAATCGTTAATTTGTGACCTATGGTATTTAAGATCTGTGACCTATAAATAAATTGTAACGTATAAATTTTCGATTTGTGACCAATGAACAAACTGTGACCTATAAAATTTTTGAATTGTGACCGTAAAATAATTTGTGACATAAAATTTTTGATTTGTGACCAAAAAATAATAAGTGATGAATTAAATCGTTAATTTGTGACCTATAGTATTTAAGATCTGTGACCTATAAATAAATTGTAACGTATAAATTTTCGATTTGTGACCAATGAAAAAATTTTGACCTATAAAATTTTTGAATTGTGACCGTAAAATAATTTGTGACATAAAATTTTTGATTTGTGACCAAAAAATAATAAGTGATGAATTAAATCGTTAATTTGTGACCTATAATAGTTAAGATCTGTGACCTATAAATAAATTGTAACGCATAAATTTTTGATTTGTGACCAATGAACAAATTGTGACCAATAAAATTTTTGAATTGTGACAGTAAAATAATTTATGACATAAAATTTCTGATTTGTGACCAAAAAATAATAAGCGATGAATTAAATCGTTAATTTGTGACCAAATTATATAAATCTGTGACTTAAATATATTAAATTACTAAATTAATCAAATTATAAATAATTTTTAATAAAAATCTGATTTTCGAAATTTGAAACTTGTTTTCTTGTTTTTGAAATGTGCCATAATTAATTTCTTAATTATGAAATTTTCCCTAAATTTAATTTGTTAATGGACCAGAAATTTTGGGCCAAAGAAATTAAGTAATTAACATAGAAAAAATAAAAAAATTATGGAAAGCCCAATTATTATTAATTTATTATTTTTTCTAACGATTAATCGGTCCGGTTCGGGGCGATGGCCTAAATACCATACCCGCCCCACTCCAAACTGTTTCATTAAAATCAAATACCATATCCGTCTCATTGCACCATCGATTTCGATTTTTTTCGCCATATTCGGTTCGATTAATCGCGATTTTCGATTTTGACGATTTGAATTGTCATCCCTACATAGAATGATTACGATAGACTGCAAATAGCATTATTCATTAAAAAATACATGGGCTTCCCTCTTGTAAGGAAAGTGTACCTCGGAGTTACGTATGGCAAAACTCAATAAGCAAAGGAATAGTACTATATGTACAGGGATGAGATTCTAAGGATTCTTACAGGTATTTTTCTATTGGTTTGAAATTGGTGACATGGCCAATACTTCAACTTTAAAATAAAATAAAAAATTGACACTGAAGCTCCAGCCAAACCCCACCGCGACTCAATCCGTACTCACTAGAACCTTTCAATCTGTCACTGAACTTTTTCCTCCGACGGCTTTCGCCATCAAATTCTTTGTCGGAAGCCCCTTCTTCTAACCCTAGTGGTCTCCCCCACTACCGCAGGTGACAGTGGTATCAGCATTTGAGCTACTTCCGCCATTTTTATCACTCTCTCAAATCTTATTGATAATACTATTCTCCAGAAATTGATCAGAGTCATGATTCAAATTTGACCCATCAATGCTAAAATCTTCCCATAATTCCCCAGCTATTGTTTTTCCTCTTCTTCTCATAGCATCCCTAAATTCCTCCTTCTTGTTATAGCCTTCAAGGCTGGTAGAACTTTGAGAATGATTGATTTCACCACCTAAATCCAAAGCTCCCAAATTGCTGACACTTTTTTTGAAAGAGTGTGGTTTGTGAATCATGTAATCCAATTGAAACAAAACCATCAAGAGGTTTCAAAATCTTATACCTATTAACAAACAATGGATTTCCATTCATGGAACCCTCCCAAAATCCCATTACTCCAAAATTCCCACTGGATTGAGGCAGTTTAAGCAAATTATTTGTTGAACAATGAGGATTAGAGCTCCAATTAATAGTGCCTATTTGGGATTGAGTACTTGAATCATTATAACTAGTATTCAGCATCCTTGTTCCTCGATTTAAAGCACTTTCACGAAACCCATCATCACATCCCATATCAAATGTCCATCTAAAAGATTGCTGTGAATTGGATTCATGTGTTGATTTTTATGGTAGAAAATAATTTAACTGGAGGGGCATAGATAGAAGTTAATGGTATTATACATGATTTGGCTACTTTTCAAATTCAGCGATTCGACGGTGCTCGAAGATGGGGAGGATGGCACCGACACCGACTATAAGTGAGGGATAAGATTTCGGGTCAGGATTGGGAGAAAATGAGTGAATGAGAATCTTTCTAAATTTTATTTTACTTGCCATGTCATCCTTGTAAGATGCTTGTGAATCATTGCCTGTATGTAGGTCAGGGCAAATTCGGGTTGGGGTCGAAATAACTCGGAACCACAATCAACTAAGTTAATTTGAGTATATTTCAATCCAAATTGAACCAACCTAAATCAAATCGATTTGGATCTGATCGGTTCAATTCAATTAGTCGATTTCGTCCTTGGCCTAAATTGAATTTGAAAAAAATGCTTTAAACTTTGGGGCTGATTTTGAGTACACTTAGTCTTTTTCTTTTGTGGAATTACATCAATCCAATTTTTTTAAGAGCCAATTTCATAAATCAAATTTAAAACTTGTTTATACAAAAATCAGATGATAATTAATTTTTTTAATATTAATAATAATGTTATAAAATTAATTTAATTCACATATACCCACCATTAACCCACCCAACACAATTTTCACTTTAAAACCCTAATTGCTTTCCTTCTTCCTCTCTCTCTACCTTTTCATTATCTCTTCTCTCTTTTATCACCCTGGAATGACCCATAGTAGTGCACAGCCATCCGACAACTTATCTTCACAGCCAAGCAGTGACGTGCAACACCATTGCACGGTGCGTCTCACGCGCAGGTTTATTGGTAGTTTTTGACCATCTCGCGAGGGCGCTGTTGGTTTGTTTGTAGTTTTCTAATGTGTGGGTAGTTTCTGTAAGTGGTTTGTTGGTGGTTGTTTGTGGTGATGATGGCAATGTTGTTCAGATGGTGGTGGTGGTGGAGCAAGTGATGGTAATGGCGTTTTGTGGATTTGATTTGTTGATTTTTTTGGATGACGATGGCAGCGATTTTGTTGGACTTTGCTAGTAATGATGGTGGTAGTGGTTTCCTAGAGTTAATTGTTTCAACGCTCACTGAACTTTGGGTAACGTCACGTCTCACTCATTGAATTTTGACTTGCACCCGATCACTCACTGAACTTTACGACGTTGCACTCCAATCCTCACCTCGTTAATTCCCTCACTAACAGTTGCACAGATGGAAGACGGAACTGACATGTGGTCGTTAAATGCCACAATGGAAAAAAAACAAAAAATGAATTAAAACATGATTTACTCCTATTGCCATGGCCAATATCAATTAACTCCTCCTTTTTTAAGAACCCTAACCCGACAACATCTTCACTGTGGCCAACTGCATAACCCAGCGACGCTAGAATCTAAGACGCATAGAGATTCGCAAATGACAGGACCACATGACGGTAAATGTGAATATTCTCCTGTCTGTGTTTTGATTTATGGTTTATTTTTTCTTTTTGTGGACGATCGATTGACTGGTCGGAGTTATGCGTGGAAAAGACATTATAAAAGAATACATATGCTACATGTTTAGCATCAGATCTCGCATTGATAGGGATGTGCAGAAACACCTCGTTATCTCTAGGAAAATACAGCTATTATATTATTTCCGAAAATCACTAATTTCCTTGGAAATTAGCTCATGTTTTCAACATTCCCCCTCAAGGAATAGAGTCTGATGTATCTTATAATGATTTACTGTCAATAGCATATTTGGGTGGTCATTGTTTCTGAACAATATTGTGAGCAGTCTTTACATTTTCTTAATTTATTCAAGGCATTGTTATATTATGTTGTGGCTTGTGAAGTTGGATGGTTAAAATAGATATCACATTCTTTTGCTGAAATAGATGTATTCTTTTATAATGATACCCATAGTTATTAATTGAAAGCTTTTTTAACAGATGCGGAGGATGACTTCGACTTTAATGATTTCGATAATGCTATATCATCTGGGGAAGGTAATCTAGAATTCGACAAGAATGTAACAGAAGGAATTGAGTTGGGATGTGATGGGGGTGCAACTGAACAAGATGAAGATGATTATGCAGGAATGGAACACAATGAAGATCAGGAGGCTGATGATTTGGAATGTCCATCATTTGAAGAACTATTGTTGGCTATCTCATCTGATGATGAGGTCGGGTATCGATTTCCAGAGTTCAGTTCAGAAATGGATATACGGGATCCATACTTTCAGATTGGGCAATTGTTTAGTTCTGTTAAAGAATTTAGGAAGGCTATTCGAACGTACAGTGCAGTAAATGGATACAATGTGAAGTGTAAGGTAAATGACGAAAGAAGAGTTCAAGGCACATGTAAAGCAGAGTGCAAATGGAGAATATGGGTTTCGAAGATAAATAATTTAGATACAGTGCAAATGAAGTCATATATACCTGAACATACATGCAGTCGGGACCAATATAATCATCACTGCACTTACACGTTAATAGTCAATCGGTATTTCGAGCAGTTTAAGGCAGATCCAGAGTGGAAAATGGAAAGTATGCAAACGACCGTGAAGGAGGACTTGAAGATAAATATTACTAGAAATGTCGCTTGGAAAGCAAGAAGGTATGCAAAGCAAATGATAAATGGGACTATTGAAGAACAATTTGTCGGACTGAGGTCCTATGCAGCGGAGGTGTTGAGATCCAATCCAGGGTCAACGGTGATGATAGCACTTAATGGTCAAGTATTTCAAGGTGTCTATATTTGTTTTAGTGCTTGCAAGAGGGGTTCCAACTGGGGTGTAGAAAAATAATTAGAGTAGACGGGTGTCACCTTCATATTGTTTGGGGGGGTATACTGCTCACCGTAGTCGGCCTAGATGTGAATGACTGCATCTACCCGATTGCTTATGCTGTTGTAGAGAAGGAAAACACGATTGCATTGAGATGGTTTCTGAGATATCTGGCTGAGGATATCCATATGGGAAATGGTACTGATTGGACTGTGATGACGGATAGACAGAAGGGCTTAAGTAATGTCATTGATGAGTTGTTTCCGACAATTGAGCATAGTTTCTGTGTGAGGCATATGTATACCAACTTTTTCAGTATGGGGTTCAAGGGAAGGAGTTTGAAGGATTTTCTTTGGCGCGATGCTAAATCAACTACAGTTGCTGACTACAGACAGTGGATGCAATAGATTCGACAACTAAGTGAAGATGCCTACAAATGGTTGATGGAAAGGCATTCGACCAAGTGGAGTAAATCTCATTTCAGGACACATTCGCGAAGTGATATTTTGTTGAATAACCTGTGTAAAGTTTTCAATTAGATGTTGATTGACGATAGAGAGAATTCTTCTTAACGATGCTCACTGATATACAATTGGGATTTATGAAAAGGATTGAGAAGCGCCGTACTATGATGAGGAGTTTCAAAGGTCGATTGTGTCCAAGGATTAAAAAAGACTAGCCAAGATGACGGACATGTCAGCTGGATGCACCTTACACTTTTCAAAGGGGCCTAGATGGCAAGTGGATTGCAGAACTAGGACATATGTTGTTGATTTGGAAGAAGGGACTTGTGCATATAGGAGGTGGGACTTGACGGGGATTCCATGCAGTCATGCTGTTACCGTTATACGAGAGTGCAAAAATGAACCTGAGGACTATGTTGACAACTGCTATACAGTTGACTCATATTTGATGTGCTATGGTCAGATTATGAATCCGATTAACGGGAAAAAATTGTGGCCCCAGTTGGACACTCTTTCCATCATGGCACCTTCGTCGACTATTCCACAGCGGGGAAGAAAGCAACAAAAACGAAGGAGGCAAGCAGAGGAAGATGTAATAGAACACTTGCAAGGAAAATCTATTGTTAAGAGAAAAGGAAGAGTTGCAATGATATACTCATTATGTGGACTACAGGATCACAACAAGAGATATCACAGCAGGCCAGATGTTCCTTCCCCGGTGAGTACTTATTAAAATTCTCATTTGATAGTTGTCTTTAATATAACATGTGATGAAGTACTCAAACGTTAATTTGCAGGACTGGGATGCGGCTCTTTTGGAGCCAGTAGAGCGTCGAAGTTCTCTTGATGCGGACAACAGGAGACATGTTAAGTGCTTTCACTCTCAATTTGTTGTACGCCAATGTTTTTAATAACTTATATTTCTTTCAATTTTCAGGAAAAACTTATGCCAAGCATAGAGAGAACAACAAACTTTCCATTTCATGCCTACTCATGGGGTCGCGATGCAATCCGAAACTACATGTACAAATCATGGGCCGTCAATTTCAATGCCTAAAAAAAAGTTTTTGGTGACTGAGCAAATTGAACTCCACGATACGGAGGATGAACTTATCGGAATAAATGCGCCAAGTCATAGAGCACCAAGGGCTGATAGGAGTAGATGTAAATAGTCATCATGAAGGAAAGGAAGAATGTAGCGCCAGACAAATTGGTTTTTTGTTGAAGCTGTTTGTTTGTTGGAGGAGGAAAACTGATTTTTTGTTTTGTTTTTTGATGATATGAATAGCATCTATATGTAGCTAGCATAATGCTTCATGCTAGTTTTTTTTGTTCTTGACGACGTAGCTAGCAGATATATGTACCTAAATGTAATGGAGGCACAATATGGTAGATGTAGATGGATGGTGTCTAAGAAGGTTTTTTTGCCTTCTGTAATTAACTCCAAAATGGGAGATGGCAGGATGTTTTGTTTTGTTTAAAGGTAGGATGTTGTTTTTTTGTTTTGTTTTTACACTAATATCATAGCCTTTTTTCTGAATGCTGACCATATATTTAACTGTACTCTTTTTTCGGGTCTTCAAATTGTTATGTTATGTGCACTTAACAATGTTCAGAAATTTCAAAAATCAAGGCAAATAAAGGGTTAGCTTTGATCATCATTCACATCACAACAGTTTCTTTTCACTCATCTCTTTCCAAATGATATTAGGTTCATTTTTAAGATTAAGATGCCACCAGAAGTTCAGGTTCAGTAGATAATAATTATGAAGCAGCTGACCATTATACAACAAAAATGGGTGCATCTTCCTGTAAGGGACTTGAGAAGCCTAATTTGTTTTAGTAGCAGAATTATTTGCATCGAAAAAGCAAAACACTTACCAAATTTGGTCAACATGAAACTAAAAAACATTTGATAATATAATGCCTTACTTGCGAAACTTGCTCAACATTAAACTAAAAAACAATTAGTACAGACATCCAACTGGAATTAAAGTTTACTGGAAGTGGCAATAACATAACAACCAACTGGAGTTAAAATCTACTAAACATTATATCACTACAACATTATAAACTACTGATTCTCGTCAAGCACGTGAGTACAATATGTGGACGATTCATCTCATTTTTGCTCCCCATTCTCTTTGACATCTCTTTTCCCCTTGTGCATGGTTATGTTGAGGCTTATCTCGATGTCTTTTTATTCTATAATTCCAGTGCAATGTTCCAACATACTTGATAACTCATCAATTGGAGGTGTCGAATTACATTCCCCCATGCAAATGCATCTTAATCCAAGATCGCCTTTCGCACCACTGGACTTTCCTTCGTCTTGTAATAATATCCATACGTCGGGGGAAACCTTACTCCACGTGAAAAACCCGCAATCTCGACTGCAAAATATAAATAACTTTCCTATGTTTTTGTTCTTTTTTTCGACTTCCAACCACCTCAGAAAGCCTAAACAACAATTTCGCCATCGTTGCTTTTTTGGACAATCCCACAATTGGTGGCCCGAATGTCTACAACAGTGGCAAATTCCCCTGTTCTTGCCTACACAAGAAATAATGTGGTAAATGATACACATAATAATATGCAAAACTTCAGTTGTTATGAAAAATTCTAACCACTTCAAAAAAGTCCAACTACAGCTTCTTATGGAAACTAAATACAAAACTACACTTCTTATGGAAATTAAAACCTCACAATGTAATTGCACAAACCAACTACAGCAAATTTTACTTCCAAAGCACACCGCATTTTTTCAATTCTTATTCTGGGAAAATTATATGTACACGAATTGCATCTCAAATTTAGCTATATACATATTTTTCATAACACTATACAGACCCATAAGCAACAATTTTTTTACTCCAAAACAATCAGTGCAGCTTTACCCTCCCAGTAGATTCGGAGATCAGATCCCCAGAATCCCAGAACTTAGCTAATATATGTAAAAGAGTCTCTTTGTTACCGTAAAATACACAATGAGCAACTGAATATGCTATTGGGTTCCAACAGTACTAACCGAATTACCTCGATTCCTTGTATCCATGCTGCCATTTTCTGGGGATCGTTCTTCACAAATCCAAGCTTAATTGGGATGGTTTGGTCGTCGAGAAATGTTGGACTATTAATTTACGGGTCACAATTGTCCACAACTTTAGATTTGGGATTTGATTTGAATTACTGGATTTGGGGTTTAGGGTTACAATTTGGGGAGAGGAATGAATGAATGAATGACTGGAACCGCAAAATAAATGGGGAGATTTCAATTTCATTTTTTGTTTTTTTTTTGTTTTTCAAATCCATGGTGGCATTTAACGGCCACATTTCAGTTCCGTCGTCCACCTGCGCAGCTGTTAGTGAGGGAATTAACGGGGTGAAGAATGGAGTGCAACGTCGTAAAGTTCGGTGATTGATCGGGTGCAAGTCAAAGTTCAGTGAGTGAAACGTGACGTTACCCAAAGTTCAGTGAACGTTGAAACAATTAACTCGATTTCCGAACTTGAAAAAATTAGAAAGTAGAGTTAAAGTATGAGAAAATGAAAAGTCAATAAATACTAGACAAGATATATATAATATAATAAATAAACTAGAAAAATTAGATTTAGGTAAAGTTAAAGAACCTAGCAACTAGTAGTAGTAAATTAGTTGGAAACCCTTTTCTAAGGTCATTAAGTAGAAAGAAAGAATATAAAACAAGATTAAAATCCCTTATAAATATAGAAGAACAAAGAGAGGCCTTTAAACAAAATAAATTAAAATTAGTAAAAGCTTTAGATATATATAAAAAAGAAAATTTGTTTAGTAAATCTTTAATATATCAACATTATGGTGAAATATATGTTTTTTGTACACATGGAGATTAATTTATATCCCTAGATCTAATAGAAAAAGAATCTTATAAAGAAGTTGTCAATAAAAATCTTCAACGGGATTAATAATAGTAGGAGTAAAATAACTTCATGGGAAAAATTTAGGAGCTAAAGTATTAGCATGTTTATATGATAATAGATTCACAGACATAGAATAGGGATTATTAGAAAGTATAGAATTAGATATGAATAATAAAGAAGGAATAATACATTTTACACCAGATTATTTAGTAAGAACAAATTTTTTTATAAAGACATTAAAATATGAATAAAAAACAAAGGATATCAAATGAAAAGAGATGAAAATAATTTATTAATTCATAAGAAGATTTAGTGAAAATAGTACAACTAATTGTAAATTAGAAAATAATCAAATAATTACATTATTAGGGTAAAAAGGTATAAAAGTTATCCCAAGAAAGAAAATTTCTTTAGAAACAAATGCAGGATTAAATTGGAATTTAGGAATTTTTTTTTTAGAAAAACCAATATTAGTACCAGAAGATAATGTCATGTATAAAAATATTAATGAAACTTTAAGTATTAGATTTGGAAATTATAGTTATCAAGCAGAACAGACAAAGCATAATAAAGAAGAAGATGAAGGAGAATGTGGATATTTTGAATAGAAGACTATGAAAGTGAAGACGAAATTAATGTGTTAGATGAAAATAGTGAAGAGGACGAAACTGAATATGATAAAAAGGATTTGGATATATAGATATGAAATGTTATAGAAATCTTAGAAAAGCTAGAGAGATAGAAATTAGAATGTTAATAGAAAAGGTCTAAGCAAATATAGAAACTAAGATGGAAGAAGCTAGTAAAAGAACTAAATTAGAAACAGATCAAGATTAAACAAAAAAAAAAAAAAATGAACTCATGAATACAAAATATGATATGAGAGGCAAGTACCATTTTCCCTTGTAAGAGACTTTGAATGGACAGATAAAAATTATAAAAGTTCAGAAAAAAGACAAACAAAAGAAAAATGCAGTCTACCATTAGCAAATGATAGAGGATTAATCTTAAAATTAAATAATTGTAAACCTCAAGATAGACCTA